AATCGCCATTACTGTGTAGATGCGTAGTATCATGGTTGGATCGAGCAGCACTGCTGGTAGGTGTTGCAGTGGCAGTGCTTGGTGTTGCGTTAATATGACCGTCCTCGACATCAGCAGCAGCCATCATTATAAAAGTCTAAAAAGATACATAAATTCAATAAGTAGTGATCTATTACTCTTCTGTTACAAGATAAGGGACTCAGAACTTGGATGATTAAGAATTTTTCAACCTAAATACATATAGTTTGATATTTTGATAGAGTCAACAAAAATGAGCACAAAATCAAAGTGTCCCCAAAAATTGTGAATCTTCCTCTCATACCTTGAGGCTGGTTCATTACGTGTTGCGATATAAAATTATTTCGGTAACAACTCACATTACTATTGTTTGTAAATGGAATTAATTGAAAAATATCGAGATGTACAATGATGAGGTATATAATCATATCTGAAGGTTAAACATGACTACTCAAATGTAAAATCTAGAAGTACTCTAGGTGTGTTCCAATTTTACAGCTTCAACGCATAGAAGGAATAAAAAGTCCAATACTACATATAACAAAAGAAGAGAGCCGTAATCAACCACAAAAGTATGGAATACACCTGCCTGATTGTCGCCGCTGCTACTTGATGTCATCGCCGTTGCTACCTCCGAAGTTACAGTATAAGCTACTGGCCCATCAGTTTGAATTTGAATGGGATACAACTGCATTCCCTGCTCAGCTGCAAAAAAAAATGTTAAGCTACTTAACCAAATGACATTAGATTCTATGTTTAGTAGCTTTCAATATATATTTAGCTTGTTAATGCTTTCATTAATGTTTTCTAAAAATCATAAAAGAGACAAAAGGGATATGAAACCTCCTCGAAAAAACAAATGAAATTTCCTCAAAGAACCAAAAACAATGCAACAAAAAACAACGGCGACACAAACAAATTGACATTATAACACCCACTCTCGATGGCCATGTAGTGTTGTTTACTGGCTGGATCAATGTAGATCTGCATGGGTTGCTGATGCAGTGCAGTTACTGGCATCCCACCAACCCCTCCAGCTAACACTATGGGAGCACCAGTGGACGAAGTGTTACCCTGTAACTGAAGTCTTAAGAATTTAGAATACACGTCAGCCAGCGGGCTTCTAGCTCAAAAAGAGAGCAACTGACTCGCACCTTTTCTATTAGCTCTGAATCTAATGTTCATTACTATGTATGATAAGCTCACCGTTCCAGAGTGTGCATCGCCGCCATCATGAGCTGTTGTAGCAGTCTAAAAAATTTTTAAATGATTAAATCAACTACAATAAGTGGGAAGCAACAAACTATGCCTCCAAAGTAATCTTAAGAGAAGAGCTTGCTGAACTTAGCAAGATAGCATTACATGATAGGTATGCGTTCCAGCTGTTGTGGTGCAAGTCGTTGAACTCAAAGCAACTGATGACCGCTGAGGATACTCTTGGTTACCGGAGGCCTCGGGACTTGCTAGAAACGCTCTCATGATTCATAAGCAGTATCAAGCTGATTGATTAAAACCGTTATTCACGGCCGTAGACGATCCATCAGATGAGAAGCTACGAGGTGCGGCGCCATTTGGAAAGATGCTGCTTAATCTATGAGCTGCTCTATATCTAAAAAAAGCAATATGACGGGAAAAAAGGGATACAAGATATAAACATTACCTCTCCAAGAAAAGCTGCAGTGGCGCTACGTAGTTATCAAATCCCATATTTGTGATAGCTTCCAGCAGGTCATCTGCGCTAATTGTTTTGCGTTTCTCCTGCAATAG